GTTTGCAGAGGACAATGTCGAATATATTTACTGGTGTTTTGTTTCATCTTTGAGAATGGCAAATCTCTGTAGAAAGTAGTGTTTATGTCAGTAACATTGAATATGCTACAGTATCAGTGGAATATGTACATGCAGTATGACCCAGCTACTTCTACGCATTTATCACAGAGGAACTCTTAACATATATACACAAAGAGATGTATGCAAGAATGTTAACAGCAGCATCACTTACAATTGCCAATAATAAAAAACAATCCAAGTATGCATCAACAAGAGAATAGACAAATTGTGATTTATTCAAATAATAGAATATGGTATGATAGTTAAACGGAATAAACTTGTAGTGCACCTGTTAATGATAAGTTGCAGAATTACATAGTATGATGCCATTTATCTGATTTTAAAACTTGCAAACAAATACTATATGTTGCTTACAAATACATGCAGATGTCATTATAATATATAAGCGTGTGTGGGAACAGTAAATACAAATTTATGATAGTGATTTCCTCAGGCAGGGAAATAAGATCAGAGAAGAGGTTTGTGGAAGGTTTCAACTCCAACTAAAATGCTTTTATTTCTTTATTAAGTTCAGAATAAAATATTGCAAAATGTTAAGACTTCAATGAGTTATGTGCATACAAGAGTGTTATATTATTCTCTATTCTCATCTGAAGATCTAAATATTTTTTTAAAAGAAAAGAATAAATGGGATTTGTCAGATTCAGTGGGAAAAATGGACTTTGTGTGAAAACACAAATGCAGGAACTAGCTTAGCTCCTTAGGGGAGTCGCAGATCATTTGACTTTGAGGAGGGGCTTGTGGGGAGCCCAGCCGCCTGGAGAGGTGTGCAGGGACCAGTGTTGCTGGGGAGTCAGGCCTGAGGGCTGGGGAGTGGATCTCATGCTGACAAAACTCAGCTTCACCTCGGAGCCTTGGGAAGCTGTTGGAGATCTTTAAGCAGAGGAACTGTGGATGAGTCCATTCTGGCCAATGTGTGGAGAGTGGTTTGAGTAAGTTAAGGGGAAAAAAGCTGGGAGAGTAGAATGAATCAATAGGTAGATCTGGGACAACAGCTGAGGAATAGCTTCAAATTGTCTGACAAGAATTTTACTAAGGATTCCTTCTTCTCCAGAGTAACTGCTTCACAGACAAAATACAGTAGTAAATATAAAAAAACAACTGCACATTTTATTGTGCAGGAAAAAAAGTCAGCTGTTCCTGAAAGAATTCCAGTCCAGAGGTGAAAGGGTCTTGTCATTATGGCTGCATCTTCCAGTTAGTCCTTCGGGTGCTTATTATAAGTGAATTTTTACAGTTTTTTAAAACTCCAACATGGACGGGAATTGATGCTGTCTTTACAGACACGGAGACAATGCAATGACAATGGGAGTCTGGCACCCTCCAGTGGCCTTACTACCTTATTCCAGTGTCTGGCCCACAGTGCAGAAATCGTGTCAATACAGCAGAGAAAGAGAAGTTAAGTCAGGAAAACATAACTTTTTATGGAGAGGATACTGGTAGAATAATATAGGGACACATGTGTGAATAATAAAAAGGCAAAGAACTGTGTAAGAAATCTTGCCTCAGTAAACTAACTTTCACCAAGTTATTACAGGACTCTCTTAACGTTCCTATCTGTGGGAAGCAGACATATTGTGTTGTTAGGCGCTTTGAACAGCTCTGCAATCACTGTAACAGAAACTAAACTCACTTAAAGAACCCCAGTTACTCCTCATTCTAGTGTAATTTCTTTCACATTAATATTTTCGGTAATTTGCCCGAGCCGGTTTTGCTCAGTAGATAGCGTGTCAGCCTGCGGACTGAAGGGTCCCGGGTTCGATTCCGGTCAAGGGAAGAGCACATGCAAGGGTTGTAGGCTCAATCCCCAGTAGGGGGCGGCAGTAGGCAGCCAATCAATGATTCCCTCTCATCATTGATGTTTCTCTCTCTCTCTCCCTCTCCCTTCCTCTCTGAATCAATAAAAATATATTTAAAAAAAAAGATTTTGGGTCATTGAAGTTGATTCTCTTTGGTCTGCCTCCTCATTTCCTAACAGAATATTTATATGCTAGTACCTTCCGTGCTTGGAGCTTGATAAAATAGCAAAAGGGAAAAGCTGTCTTTAAGACGCACCCATACAAAACCAGACCCTGCCCAAACATCTACAGCACAGAAAACCAGTTTGGGACCCCGAGCTACAGATGCTAACCAATTCTCATATGGGAGACAGAGGGGAACCAGCTTTCTTGAGTATCAGACACATGCTAAGCATTAACATATTCATCTCACAAAAAATGTGGCTATAGAATGTAACTTTTCCCCCAAGGAGTTTGTATTTTAATAAGCAGTGCTAAACTTCCAGAAATGCTTCAAGATCCAAAAGAATGAGTTTTTAATGGTGAGATTTCAGGCGTTTATTTAGGTGATTGAGGTGGATATTGTGGCAAACATGCCACAAAAGTCTTCACTTGGATGGATCGAGCAATGGGTCACTCATCAGGAGGCTTGGGTCCCAGGGCCCAGCTTCCCAAGAGACTTTGGGCCTACAGATTAGTCCCCTGGACCTGTTTCAAACCCTTAGTGCACGCTAATGCTCAGCATTTGCTGTTTTCAGCACTAGGGTGGTGTATCTTCCTGGCCCTGGTACATGAGCCTTTATAACCAAGAAAATGGACCTGACACTCAACTGAAAGAGATACTTAGGAACTGTCTAAGCCAGAAATAAACAATTATTTTTATATGTTATGCCTACTTTGGGGATGACACTTTTGTCTCAAGTCCTTATTAATGACATGCTGCTTGTAAGTGGGGCAGATCCAGGTTTTGTTGGCCTGAAATTTATATAATTTATTGGACTCTCTTTAAGAAAAAGAACTCAAAATTATAAATGCAAAATTAGGTACAAAAGTGAATATTTAGAATGGGAAAAGAAATGATAAAGGTTAAAAATTTGCATATTTTTACAAGTTGACAAATATAAACATTATCTAGAACTGTCCAACGTAATCCAGAAAGATGGGTGAGAAACACAAAGATGTCATCCAGTATATTGGGATACATAAAATAGGCAACTTCACGTACAGATGAACTCACTATTTATTTGAAGAACTAATAACTAAAAATTTTCTAAATGGATGAAATGTATAAATCCACAGATCCAAAAGGTTCAGCAAACTTCAAGCATGATAAATAGAAAGAAAATCATTCCACTTAATCCATGTCATGATTAAGTGGATAAAAATTGGTGATAAAGAAAAAAATCTCTTTTTTAATCCGCACCCAAGGATATGTTTTACTGATTTTAGAGAGAGACACTGGTGTGAGAGAGAAACAGGAATCAGTTGCCTCCCATACACACACAGACTAGGGATGGAACCCACAACCTCCATATCAGTATGTGCCCTGACGGGGAATGGAGCCCACCACCATCTGGTATACCAGACAATGCTCCAGCCCACTGAGCCACCCAGGCAGGGCAAAGAGAAAAACGTAAAACAATCACTCTCCCATTCCCAATCTAATACAAATTCCTCACAGTGCTCTGAATTCAACCTCTCTTACCTCTCAGCAAACTTACTGTCAGGAACTGTGGAAAGCCTGCGATTTTCCTCTGCTTGCAAACTCACAAATTAGTTTGCTACTATTTCACAGATGCTGGCAGAAGATACAAGACTCCTGGAGAGGCGATCATCTTTGAAATTCTCATAAAATCTAGTGATGGACTTGCCCCTTACTTCTGGTTTTTCTTCTACTGTCTGTGTATTCTCAGTCTTCTTTGCAGACTCAGCCTCTCTTACTTGAATTTACTACCATGGCCAGTATCTGATCCTCCTCGGCACCCACTGTGGTCCTTTCCAATCCATCCTCCAAGTAGCACCCAGATGGAGCTTTTCAAAAGGCAGATATGGCCCTGGCCGGTGGGCACAGTGGTTAGAGCATCAGCACCACCTAGGGGCTTGTTAGAACTGCATCTCCCAGACCTACTGAATCAGAATCTGCAATTTTTTATCCTTGCCCAAGGATTTTTTACATTGATTTTTTTTTTTTTTAGAGAGAGAGAGAGTAGAAGGGAGGGAAGGAGAGAGAGAGAAAAAAAACATAAATGTGAGAGAGACACATGGATTGGTTGCTGCCAACCCTGGAGGGGAATCTAATCTGCAACCCAGGGATGTGGGAATCGAACCGGGACCCGTTGGTGTGCCGGCTGATGCTCTAGCCACTGAGCAGCACTGTCCAGGGCCAGAATCTGCATTTTTTTAAAAAAAAAAAAAAACAACACGATTCCCAAATGATTCGTATGTACATCATCATTTAAGTACTAGGCTGCAGAGCATGTTTATGACGAGGTAATCTCATCCGATGGCAAAAAGCCAAGTGTCAAGTGAACGACACCAAAATGCATGTCAGTGGGACCCAGTCCCTCCTTCCTATCTCATTCCGTTAGAATACACTCAGCGGCGTTGAAAGCCTGGAGAAATGGAAAGCTGGCTTTACACACTTGCTCCAACGTCAGCAATTCCTTGACGCAGACGCTTGGAGTGGCCTGGTGCCCTGGCCGAGAGTGCCCTCGTGCGGAGGAGAGGGGAACTTTCCAGCTCTTCCTCCCGGGCGGGAAGGACCGCACCTGGGGCTCCCGGGGTGATGCCTGGCCCGGGCTCACCGGGTGCGGTCTCGTTGTCAGACCCACCGGTGTCTCCAGGCTCGCTTTTCAGCTTTAAGACAGGTGCCACTGCCACGTGTACGCGCAGAAATGCACAGAGCAGAAATAAAGA